TGTGGAAGCCTAGCTTGACCACAACCAGGGGTCAAAGACTAAGGCCCAAGCCTTACAGATACAGAACGCCTGGGACATCTGAGCTGCGAAGTGATCATGTGAGGTCGTCTTCTTCAGGTCTAACACAGGCCAGTTTTAGTCAGTGAATCTACACCGGTCTAGTTTCCTTTTCTAAGTGACTTCTGACTCCTCAATGCAGACAATTCACTGTACCCTTGTCCTAGTCCTCAGGACCTACCCACCTGGAGAGGCTATGGTTTAGGACCCTGCAGGAGGGCACATAGGGAGCTCCAGGCTCAGCGCACTAGTCACTCCTACAGCTCATACAACAGGAGTGTTAGAGCTTAGCTCACATTCTTAGGCAGGAGCTCCCCATCCAGAAGGCCCTATTTCTGTGTGCCACACCCAGTCACCAAGCTAGATGGCTGAAAGTGGCTCCAAACATTTTTTTTTTCAAAATTACAATTTACTTATATGTGGGCTCATGTGCCACAGTATGCCTGTGGAAATCAGAGGCCAACCTAAGAGAGTTGGTTTTCTTCCTGTTGTGTGTGTCCTGGGGATTAAACTCTAAAGTCAAATGCCTTTACCTGATGAGTATCTTGTCAGCTACCAACTTTTCAAAATTTTTATTTTGTGTATGGGGTTTTGCCTGCATAAATATCTGTGCACTGCATTCAAGGAGTGCCTGAAGAGGCAAGAAGAGAATGTAGGAAACAGGCGGTGGTGGTGCATGCCTTTAATCCCAGCACTCGGGAGGCAGAGACAGGCGGATCTCTGTGAGTTCGAGGCCAGCCTGGCCTACAGCGCTAGTTCCAAGACAGGCTCCAAAGCTACAGAGAAACCTTGTATTGAAAAACAAACAAACAAACAAACAAAAAAAGAGTATAGGATCGCATGGAACTGGAATTACTATAGGTGCTGGGAACTGAACCCAGGTTCTCTGAAAGAGCAGAGAGTGCTCTTAATTGCAAAGCCATTTCTCCAGCCCTGACAATTTAAAACATTTTCTCTAACCTTGACCAGTACTTCTAACTCTGTGGTAAAACAAACATAAAACCAAAACGCTCTATCTCATCTGATGACCAAGATGAGAGAGAAAAGGTCCAGGTTCAGCCCTATGTCCCAAACCTACTCCAGCCCCACCCACTGTATACACCTGCTTGAACATGAGATTTGGGATTCACAGCAGTGCCATCCTAAGCTACTCCTAACCCAAATGCCCACTGCCTTCCACTCCAGCTACAACACAGCCACAGTGGAGGTGGACATCACAGTCTGCTTCCTGAAAGGGCCTTTATTTATGGCCAGAGTTAAAACAGCAAAGGGCAGGGCATGGTGGTGCACACCTTTAATCCCAGCACTCAGAGGCAGACGCAGGTGTGGAGTTCGAGGCCACCTGGTCTACAGAGCGAGTTGCAGGACAGCCAGGACTACACAAGAGAAACCCGTTTTGAAAAAGGAAAACACACAAATCCACCCCTCCAATAAAAATGGGGAAAAAGCCACTTCTTGAATCACAATCCGCTCCGAGGAGGAGTAATCACAGTGGAGCCAGCACAGCCCGTACTTCTGTGGTCCTCTTTCCTTTTAACCGCTATTTTAGGGTGTGAAGGCGGGCTTTGTCATTATGTGGAAACTCTGCTACAAGAGCTCTGCCTAGGCTACCTCCTAGACCAGTGGTTCTTAACTTTCCCAGTGGTTTGACCCTTTAATACAATTCCTCATATTATGGTGACCCCCCCAACCATAAAATTATTTTTGTTGCTACTTCATAACTGTAATTTTGCTAGTTATTTCCTTTCCTTTCCTTTCTTTCGTTCTTTTTTTTTTTTTTTTTTGGTTTTTCGAGACAGGGAGACAGGGTTTCTCTGTGGCTTTGGAGCCTGTCCTGGAACTAGCTCTGTAGACCAGGCTGGTCTCAAACTCACAGAGATCCGCCTGCCTCTGCCTCCCAAGTGCTGGGATTAAAGGCGTGCGCCACCATCACCCGGCTAATTTTGCTAGTTATAAATCATAATGTAAATATGTGTTTTCCGATGGTCTTAGGTGACCCCTGTGAAAGGGTTGTTCGACCCCACAAAGGGTCTTGACCTACAAGTTGAGTACTGTTATCGTAGACAGAGAACCAGTCAAGGAGCAACAATAAATAAACAAAAGACACTGTACTGAAATCTCATTCAATTCCCCAACTGTGATGCTGTTGTACTGAATGTCACTGAGGCATAATAACTACTCTTCAAGGAGTAAGAAGTCAGAATTCTTCTCAAACGCCACTCAAACAACTCCTGCACCTTATTACCTATTTCCACTTGGGTTTCTTCTAGAAGGAAAATCCCAGACACAGCATGCAACTGGATCTGAATTCAGACTACTTTAACATTTACTGACTATGTGGCTTATAAGGCACATTCAGAGTCTTAGCTGAACTCCTCTGACACCTTGTAGTTAAGAACTGACAAGCTGGCTCACTCAGAAGCATGGCGGTGAGGAGTATTTCCTAGAAAGACAATGCACGACAGCTGCTTTCAAGGGAAGAATAACCGTGTTTTTGTAAACCAACTCCCCTTGTTCATCTCCTGGGATCAAGCAATCAATTCTTCCACCTCAGCCTTCCCGGTAGTTGAGAATTCAGGGGTACCATCAGACTCTACGTTAAAGCTTCTTTACGCTATGCAGCTCCGTGGTCTTTCTTTTATCTATTTACGAAGGAATTCTAATCTTTTTCAGCACTTATCAGACACCGGTTTTCATCTCGCCTGGCTGTTCTCTACCTAAATGTAACACATGACGTTCTCGTGAGGGAAATGGCTTGTCACAAAACTTCAGAGTCACCAAGAAGGCTCTTCAGTGTGGTCTGCCATCTCCAAGTCTAGGACTCCATCATCATCACCAGAGTTTTGAGGCACCAGGTAGGTCCAGGGGGTCGCAGGCTCAGAACTGTGTGGGTGGGTGGTTCTAGAAGGGCAGGAAACTCTAAGAAAGGGCTGAGGCCTGGCTTGTTCTCCTCTCTGGTAGTAGTGGGACACTACCATAAAGCTTACCCTACAAGACATGGTGTTTAGGGGAATCCTGTATGGAGATGGAGCCTTCTGTGGACTCCAAAAAATGGGTCCATTTCTGTTTGGTACAATCTACTTCTAAGTTCTCTCACAAGACAAAAAACCTCCCATCAACACTGCCAGCCAAACTCTCCTCCTCAGCCCAGTAAAGACCAACTCCTCTGTAGAATTCCTTCATTCTGACTTCTTACTAGAACATCTTTCACTTATAGGACACTTTAACATAAATGACAAAACTTTTACTGCCACATCTCCCAAACTGTGTGCTCCTTACAGTTCTGCCTTTTGAGTGGTGTTTCTGAAAGCAGAGAATTTACAGAGCTTGTTTCTTCTCCCTAACAAAAGAACAGGGTGTGTAACAGTCTGGTGTTCACAGCTGTGGAGCAAAGACCTGTGGGTCTCAAAGCTGTGACCGTAAGCATCAGTATCATGGCTGTGTGCCTCGAATCTGTTCTAGAGCTTCAAAAACACCCACCACACCAGCAGGTTCAAACTGGGCAAGCTTGTAACACACAAAACAAGCCAAGAGAACAAGGCCAAGGGCTGAACAAGCAGACAGCTCACTTTAATTATTGCCAGCATAATCTGCTGGGACAACCAGGCCTCTGGGACACATTCCATTTTCTCTCAAAACAGTTTTGCTCCCTCAAGTATTCTTTCCACACTCCCTGTTTCTTCTGATTCTAGCACCATGATCAAATGTGTTTAAGTCCTCTAAAAGTTTATGTAAAGGCCTTTCCTGATTCTAAAACCACATCCTGTGAGAAACCCTCCAAAACTCTTTGGATCTTCAGGGCTGAGAGGCAGGTTGACTTCTAAATAGCCGAGGTTGAAAAAGATTGCTAAAACTAGTTAATAACGTGCCAGCTTAACTACTAGGAATGGAAACATACTGTTATCTGCAGTGTACTTTGGCAAATATGAAAATACGAAACTGCTGGATGGATACACAATAAAGGACAATATGAACTGCACGTACTATGTGGTAGTCCACGGGTATGCGCTGTAAAAATCAACATTTTCTGTATGCTTTGAAATTTTCCTAACTAAACGTTGGGGTAGAGGAGGTCTTCGAGACAGCGAATGGCTAAAAATATCTTTCTTCTTATGAGCAGAGGGCAAGAAGAGCAGACATGCCGCTTCTTCGCACCCACCTCAGGTCAGCCCCAACGGAAGAAGAAAAGGGGAGAGCAGGCCTATTGCTCAAACAATGCCCTGTTTGGAGTGCACCACAAAACTGACGTAAGAGCTACTTAACGTCCCCCCCCCCCCCCCCCCCCCCCCCCCCCCCCCCCCCGCAAGACCCTTGGTCCTCACTCCCGAGACGCAGGTTCTCGGTCCCATATGTGCATGAGAATTTCTGGAGAGCTGACTAAATGCAGATTTATGGGCCTCCCCCCCTTAGCTGCTCATTCAGATCCAGATCTTTCTGATGCAGAGAATCCTAAACTGTTCACGCCATCTTCTTTCACACCTGTTGAGGCCCCAGGGGACCCACTCCTCCAACGTACTGGATTCGCCAGCCTACCGCCTTCCTAACGTTCTGTCGGAGAGCCGCGTCCAGACCTGGAAACCGGCAGGGAAGGGAGAGCCAGACAGGCTCCTCCGGGACCGCCAAGGTTACCCGTGGGTCTCTGAGATGGCTTGGCGAGGGGACCCTCCCCGAAGGACTCCCCTTCCTCTACCCCCCATATCCAGAGGAGAAACAGCACACACAGCCTTCCTTACAGAAATGCAGAAAGGCGTGATAAGGAAACACCCCCAGTGGACTGGCCCTCCTCCGGCCGATAATCCCGTGTCTGCAGGCCCAGTCCCTCGCGGCCCTGAAAAGCGGTCCTTCGGAGCCCGGCGGCGGCAGCCACACCGAAATCAACTGACCGCCCTGATTCTGCGTCTCTGGGGAAATGGACTGCACCACACTACCCCAGCCCCGTTTACCTCGGAATCCAGAAACCCGAGGCCGAAGGAACACAGAGGCCGGCGGGCGTCCAGCCCGATGCTCCCAGGAGCCCCTCTATCAGCGGGCTCGGAGCGCACACCGCCCCCGCACCTAGAGGACCCTGGGACTTGTAGTCCTTCTATGCACCCGCAGCATTCCCTGAGGCGGGGGCCTGCGGCTCCCGGCACCCCCGGCACGGCGGAGGGCTGGGTCACACGGGCCGAGGGTTTCGGAGCCCAGCCCGCGCCTCCGCGTGCGGGAGGGGGTCCCACCGGAAGCCACCCCGGAGTCTCAGAGGCGACTCACCGTCGTTGGGGCCCCTCACGGCGCAGCTGCAGGAACGACAGCCTCCGTTCCCGTTAAGAGGAAACGGATAGGCTTTGGAGAAAGGCCCAAGCCGCTGGCCTCGCGGCGAAGGGCGGAGCCGAGCGTCACACGTGACGAGCTTGGGTGACGTCAATGGAGGCGCGTTGCAGGCGTGAGATAAGCACGTGGGAGGGCCCAAGTCGCTGAGCTGGGGAAAGGCTGTTGAGGGTGGGCGCGGCGGTGGGGGCGGTGCTTGCGCTCCCTCCCTGCCCGGGCCAGCCGTGCCCTGCACGGGTAGAGGGAGTGGCACCACCCTTGCCCTTGGCCGCCCAGGAGCTGTGCTTGAAGCTGGGAACCACCCCAGCTGTCCCTGCCCTCGCAGCTTCCATTCTGACAGACGATGTCCATACACATAAACCACAAAATCCCCAGCGCTGCGAAGGCAAACTGCGGAGCGTCCCAGCAGAATTATAGAGTGTTGCCTGTGGGCAGGAAAGTTAGGAATGGAGATGGTGGGGGGAGTTGTGAAGAGAGAAAGGAACTGGCTTTAGATGATCAAGAACTGAAAGACACTGGCCAGCAAGGTGAGGACTCTGGAAGGCAGGCTGGATCCAAGTCACCAGGGCCACTGAAGGAGTTTGGGTTTATTACAGATAAAAACTAAAACCCTTGACCGGCTCTCTCTTTTCCTCTTGTATTTGTGTGTGTGTTGGGTACTTATGGAGGTCAAGAACAACATTCAGGAACCAGGTCTCCCTCCAGCATGTGGATTTTGGCTATCAAACTCAGGTCTCCAGGCTTGGCAGACTAACAACACCCATGGGCCATCCCACCAACCCTTTTGTGTGTTTGAGACGGGGTCTCCCTCTGAAACCGCGGATAGCCTTGCGTTCACTGTTTAGTTCAGGATAGCCTCTGACTGTCCTCAGGCTGGGAGCCATCACGTGTTGATAAGTTTTAAATGTTAGAGTTACAGTTGATCTTCATTACTGACAGGTTTTATAGTCAAATTTCACCTGCTCAGTAACATATATTTCTATTATAAAGCCAATAATTGTGCTTTCTCATTTATTCATGGATGTGTGGATCCTGTGCATTCTTCGCCTTTGTTAAGCATGAGCAACCTGTTACAAATATCTTTTATTAGGTGTATAGGTGTTAGTTAGTGGTTTTGCTGTTTTAAATGGCCCTAAGGGTAGGGCTGAATTGCTGTCTAGTGTTTGGAGGTAAGAAGGATTTGCTGTCTTTGTGGGGATTATACCCATTAGTGATTAACTGATGCATCAGTGTCACATTAAGGAAAAAGTAAAACCACTCCCCCTTGGAGTCGTTTAATCCAGAGCAAGTTCCAGTTATAATTCTCCACTTCATGCTTTCTGTGTCTGCCCTTCTTTGTTTTATGAGTTTGAATCTGTGCCTGCCTGAGGCTGCCATGGGAAAATGTATTAGATGAGTTTGTATAGGCTTGGCTTTAAGTTTAATTAAACAGAAACAATAATATACGTTAAATAAGGTATCTTTAAACATGAACATTCTACTGAGTGGTGATGGACCACACCTTTAATCCCAGTACAGGAAGCAGAGGCTGGTGGAGCTCTGTGAGTTCAAGGACAGACTGGCCTACAGACCTGGTCCAGGAAAGCCAGGGCTACACAGAAAAACCCTGTCTTGAAAAGCAAAAACAAACATAAACACTCAAAAAACAAAGTTGTATACTGATTAGTTGACAAAGAAAAAAAGATACTATAACCAGAGGCTCACAGAATCCTAACCCTATATTTCTCCTAGAAGCAATAGTTCAGCACTTACTAATTATTTTTAGCAACATCATAAAATATAGCTACCTTAAATAATGTTATTTGACTATATATGATTCAACTTCATGGACTCCTGACTAATGTGAAAAGAATGGTTTAGACCAAGAGTGGCATTCCAGAAGCTGGAAGGCAAGCACGAAATGCAATTTAAAAATTTCTGATAACTCTAGCATTAAAGGGCACAGAGAGATGGCTCAGCAGTTAAGACAATATAATGCTCTTATAGAGGACCAAAGTTCAAATCCCAGCATCCATATCAGGTGGCTCACAACTGCTTGTAACTCCAGCTCCAGAGGATCTTACACTGCTGGCCTCCACTGGTCCTTTTACTTGCATGCACATACCGTAACACAATTAAAAATAATAAAAATAGGGGGCCAAAGAGATGACTCAGCAGTTAAGAGCTCTGGCTGCTCTTCTAGAGGATCTGGGTTCAGCTCCCAGCACCCATGTGTGAGTTCACAACTATCTACAACTCAGTTCCAGGGGATCTGATGCCCTCATACAGACATAGATGCAAACAAAACACCAATACATATAAAAGAAGAATAAATAATTAAATGCTGGAGAGATGGCTCAGTGGTTTAGAGCAATGGCTACTCTTCCAAAGGTCCCAAGTTCAATTTCCAGCACATACATGATGGCTCACAACCTTCTGTAATGAGATCTGGTGCCCTCTTCTGGCCAATAGGCAAACATACAGGAAGAACTGTAGTGGCTAGCTTATGCCCCGAAATAATTACACAGAAACTGTATTCTTTTAAACACTGCTTGGCCCATTAGCTCTAGCCTCTTACTGGTTAGCTCTCACATCTAGATTAACCCATTTCTAATAATCTGTGTAGCACCACGAGCTGGTGGCTTACCAGGGAGATTCTTAACCTGCTTCCGTCTCAGAGAGGAGAGGCATGGTGTCTGCTTACTGCCTTCTTCCCAGCATTCTGTTCTGTCTACTCCGCCTACCTAATTTTCTGTCCTATCAAAGGCCAAGCAGTTTCTTTATTAACCAATAGACATATGACCCTCTTCCATCAAAGAACACGTAATGAATAAATCTTTAAAAAAAAAAAAAGAATAGGACTGAAATCTCAAGGTCCAAATCAGGAGCAGAAGGAGAGAGAGCACAAGCAAGGAACTCAGGACCGCGAGGGGTGCACCCATACACTGAGACAATGGGGATGTTCTATTGGGAACTCACCAAGGCCTGCTGGCCTGGGTCTGAAAAAGCATGGGATAAAACCGGACTCGCTGAACATAGTGGACAATGAGGACTACTGAGAACTCAAGAACAATGGCAATGGATTTTTGATCCTACTGCACGTACTGGCTTTGTGGGAGCCTAGGCAGTTTGGATGCTCACCTTACTAGACCTGGATGGAGGTGGGTGGTCCTTGGACTTCCCACAGGTCAGGGAACCCTGATTGCTCTTCGGGCTGATGAGGGAGAGGAACTTGATCAGGGAAGGGAAATGGGAGGCGGTGGCGGGGAGGAGGCAGAAATCTTAAATAAATAAATAAATAAATAGAATATGAAAACTTCTTAGGACCCACAATATTGGGCTGGAGAGGTGGCTCAGTAGTTAAGAGCACTGCCTGCTCTTTTATAGGTTCTGAATTCAATTCCCAACAACCATATGGTGGCTCACAACTATCTCAAATGGGATCAGATTCCTTCTTCTGGTATTCATGAAGACAGAACACTCATATATATAAAATACATGAAAAAATAAATCTTAAAAAAATAATAATACCATGCCTTTAATCCCAGCACTCGGAAGGCAGAGGCAGATGGATCTCTGTGAGTTCGAGGCCAGCCTGGTCTACAAGAGCTAGTTCCAGGACAGGCTCCAAAGCTACAGAGAAACCCTGTCTCAAAAAAAAAACAAAACAAAACAAAATAATAACAACAACAACAACAATAATAATAATAGCAGAATGAGATGGATTACTAGGTAGAAATAATTGCTCTGTATCCTGACACCTGAGTTCAATCCTCTGGACCCACACAGTGGAGAGAGAGAAATGACTACCCAATTCTTCTCTGACCTCCACAGGAGGACCATGGCACTTCTGCTTCCACACAAAAGTAAATAATTTAAACTTTTAAAAAATAATACAAATCTTTTTTTCAACTTCCCATGCATTAAAAAGATGGGCACACCACCCAGGTGCAGTAGTGCATGCCTCTAATTCAAGCACTAGGAAGGCAGAGACAGGTAGATCTCTGGTTTGAGGCCAGCCTGGTCTATAGAGTGAGTAACAAAACATCCAGGCCTACACAGAGAAACCCTGTATCAAACAATAAAAAAAAAAAGCTGAGTACAATAATGCATGCTGTAGTCCCAGCACTAGAGTATGAGGCAGGGATATCTTAATTCTAGGCCAGCAGAGGCTACATAGCCACACTCTGGCCCCAGAAATCTCTGACTAGGAATGGAGCTTAGTGGCAGAACACTTGCCTATTATCCTTAGTCCCCTGGGCTCATCCCTAGCAACACACACGAACATTTTTTAATTGAAAGAATTAGCATAATAAGAGATTTTTTTGATTTTTAAACAGGGTTTGATAAAAATTAATTTTGATAATACCATATACTATTTTAAGTATACTGGGTTAAATTATTGCTTCAACATTTAATCAATATAAAAATATAAATGAAACATTTTACTTTTCTTCATAGTGCCTTTGAAATCAATGCCCTGTTTTATTCTTTCAATACACCTAAATTTAGACCAGCTACTTTTCAGGAGCTACACATGTGGTTTGTGGCCAATGTAGTGAATAGCTCTGATCTAGAACGTGTGTTCATTTACTCATTCAGTCAAGCAAGGCATTATAGTCCTGGGAAAGTACACACAGTCCAGCCGGGAAGACTGGGATGGTAGCTTATTTTGAAAATGACGGTACTTTGAGAAAGCTAAGTGTGACAAATAATCCCAGCACTCGGGAGGCTGAGGCAGGATTGCCATGAGTTTAAGACTGACTTGTGCCACATAGAAACACTGTCTGAAAAACAACAAATAAAGATGCTAGGCAGTGGTGGTACACACCTTTAATCCCAGCACTCGAGAGGAGGAGGCAGGTGGATCT